TTGACCCTCGGGTCGCATCATCTGCAGCAAAAGCAGCACTCGGTAAGAAAGGACTGGTAGAATTGTTGTTTCTTGAGTATTGTTGTGGTGCAGTGGGAGAGCTTGCTGTACAGTACAGTATTTGTGGTGTGATTTATTTGACGTTTTTCTCTGCAGAGGAGTTTTCTAGAGTGCAAGAAGAGTCTGTGGATAAGATGTCAGAAATGTCCAACCAGCCTGAGAAAATAGGCAAGTCTTGATCCTTTAAATCTCTAATCATGCCTGATGTCATTTCCTTGTGATACAATTATAATGATGATTTACTGTCTTATAGAATCAATAGATCAGGACAAAGATGAGGCCAACTCCACTCCCCAACAGGTATAAAAGAAACAAAGACAACCGAGTTCTCTTGTGTTTACGGTTGATCTTCATAGCTTACGTTGTGTCTGTTTTGAAGGTCTCTGGAAGAACGGATAGTAAAGTTGAAGCCAGTGGCATAAAACTGGATGGAGATCTAATCAAAACAGAAAATGCAGAGAACATGTTGGAGAGAGAGGGTTTGTAGATATGCACAGTGTGTTTCGACTGTTAGTCACTGTATGAGTGTTTGACAGACAGAGTAAATGAAGGTCTCTGTGTGACACAGGCACAGGAGACGACAGTGAGACCACAGAGCAGCGGCAGGGGGACGGTGACGACGGGAGGAGAACGATGGAGCTGGAGCTGGTGGAAGGCAGCGTTGCCACGGCAGCAGCAGCTGCTCTTGCCTCAGCCGCCACAAAGGCCAAGGTAAAGCCCGGCCCCCTGTTTCAGGTCTGACCAATCACAAAAGCCTGAAGTGATGTCATCACTGTCATTGCTAATAGAGGCTTTTTACTGTTGTGTCACGGGTCTCATAGCAACCATAATGAACCAGTCCATGGGACCTGGCTTTTGACATTGAAGTACAGGGAATATATATATTTATATATAAGGAGAAAATTACCACATTTTCGAAACACACGGTGAATGTGTGATGACGTAATTATATTCTATTCCAGCCAAGTTTGGTGTTGCAAAAGAGGGAGCTGTGGGAGGTACAAGAGAAGAATCATCTTCCAGTTTATGTTCTCTCATGATTTAGACCTAATATGGCCACAAGAGGGTGTGTTTTATCAGCATTAACTGCTCATATTTCCTAAGTTGGGTTGTTAAAAAGCTCCATACTAATTCATTGTAGTACATTTGATCAAATTTGAAAAAAACATCTTTCTCAAAACATATCCTGGGCAACAGTTGATCTTGTTTGCTGTATTCAAATCATAATCAATAATCATAGGTCACACAAGTGAACTTAAAATCATCTGGCTCCCAACAAAACCTTCTTTATACAATGTCATCAAACTGTACATCCACAGCACTTGGCGGCAGTAGAAGAGAGGAAGATTAAGTCTCTGGTGGCATTGCTAGTAGAGACTCAGATGAAGAAGCTGGAGATCAAGCTGAGACACTTTGAGGAGCTGGAGACCATCATGGACCGCGAGAAAGAGGCGGTGGGTGAATATTATCAGTGCTGTAGCCTCAAAGCTAACTTTTCAGTTCTTCTGCTCATTATTTAGTTTTGTTGTGTGTATTTTTTCAGCTGGAACAGCAGCGGCAGCAGCTCCTCACAGAGAGACAGACCTTCCACACTGAGCAACTGAAACAGGCAGAGATGAAGGTCCGCCAGCAGAGGGAGCAACAGGGGCAGCAAGGATACACAATGCAGCATTCAGGTCAGGACACATACACAAACAACACACATGAACATATATAAGATCTTTTATCACAGTAAAAAATGCTTCACAAATGTAATAATATTATAAAACAAAACAACTAAACATGGTCATAAATAAGCCTTTTTTTTTTTTTAAATTGGCCCACCTAATACGATATCTAACATTTGTCATAATATGTACAGGCCAGTCCATGCCAAACCGGATGTTGGCCAGCACTGGTAACACTCAATCTGTGGCTCCCAGACACCCTGGAGCATCCAATGGCATGTGTAAGTTTCTTTTTATTTCCCTTTTCTTTTTACATCATTTCTCTCACTAATAAGGCTGTGTAATGACACAATGTCTGCCTCAGATCCGTCCTCGCAGCCCGATGGGATCACGTCAGCTCAGCCCGGACCCCCACCATCGACACACAGCTGAGGAGATGATGTTAAGACAACCGGGACAGGAAGATAAACATGTCACACTGGCTTAAACTTCCAAGAACAACGGTTTCAAACTGAAGCCTGTAAATCGTTAGCCGTCTTTATAAATATTGAAATATTTGTTCTGTGATGTCAGAGTTGAGATATCTGCAGATTGAACTCGACTCAATAAAGGTTTTTTTTTTTATATCAAGCTTTTGCTTTTGTGGATTTGTCTTGGTCCAGTAGGTTAATGGGTTCTCTGGTTCATTGGTTCTAAAAGACTACTCTGCTAGATCTTACCTGCTTAACTTTGAGTGTTGGGTTGTTTCTCAAGTTACTCACTGACTCCAGTCTAACAATCCTTCAGTACTGCGTGGACCTGGAGTTCCTCCAGGTACTCTGACTTCCTCCCTCAGTCCAAAGACTGGGTGTATGTCTCTATATGATGTCCTCTAATGGCCTGGAGCTCTAGAGCATCCTCCATCCTCGCCTAATGACTGTGGCTCCACCAACGACCCTGAAATCAATTCCATTGGAAACGAATGAATGCAAAACAAATGTACTGTGGGGGGAAAACCCTTGAATTACAAGCTCTCAGTCAATTTTCAAGTAGGTAGTTGACTTTTCTTGTAAATCCTTAGAGTCTCTATGAGCTGATTAATGCCTTTTCAAATTCCCCACTTGATAAAATCAAGGTTGGAGCCACTGACACACCGCAGCCTCTATGGCTGTATTTATAGTTTCATACACAGAATTTTCCTTTAGGCATTAGACATGCATTTAACAGACACACGCAGATACTGCTCTTGAGGGCATTTGTACACCCTGTCCAGCCCTCACTGTTCAGTACAGCAACACATGATGGAAAAACGGCTCTGGCCTGAGCACAGCATGCCAGTACAGAGCTTGGCGTTGACTTAGGTATGCTAGTCTTTCTCTGTGTTCTGCAGTGAGATCCATCTGTTCCTCCTGTCTAACCATCCCTCTCCTACTGCCTCTCTCTCTCTTCCTCTCTCACTTGGGGCTGTCATTTTCACTGTCTTGCCCTGTCACCCTGCCATCTCACTCTTGTTAAAACCCCACCCCTGTGGGACCGAGGGTAGGAACAGCATAGACTCACATTTGACTAAAAGTGTTTGAAAGGAAACCAACAGGCCGCTCACAGCAGGAGAAGGGATCCGTTAACTGCCAATTGAATGAGTGACACTGCGATTAGTTTACCAGGAACGCAGCATTGGCTCTTAATTATTCCCTGATGTGTTTGACATAATCATATTAAGATTGAAAAGATGTAGTCGGTACTTCACTGGACTGACAGTGGATTCCAGTGGGATGGCAGTTAACAACAAATCTGTTGTCAATGTCAAAGTCAAAGTCAACTTTACTGTCAAATATGCTTATAAATACAGGACATTTGGCACAATAAAATGTCAGTCCTCTTAGACCCACGGTGCAAGAGGTCAAGAATATTATAAGTAAAAGGAATATTTACGAGAGGGGTTGTACACTTAGCAGTAGTAAACAACAATAATATTTAGTGGTGCTAATAAAAAGGCACATTAAAAGTAATGTGGTTTTTATGTTGTACAGGAGAAGAGAGAGATAGAGAGGGGGGCTGGGGGAGAAACAGAGAGAGAGAGAGAGAGAGAGAGAGACTGCCTCCAGTGTGTGTATTTGTGTAAATGACATTAGAAGGCAATACAGGAGCAAAAAAAAAAAAAGTCAGGAGTGGCAGAGAATATTTTGAGGGCTGTACAGTGTGCTAATCCTGTTCATGTTGCATTGCACTTTTATTATACATTTATATTTTGAGCACATAACGTGTTGAAATAATGGTTTAAAGTCTGCATCACAGGCAAATCATTCATTTTAGGTTACATGGTCAAACAACAGAATGACCTGCTCTATGACAGAACTATGTTTTCTTATTCCCTACTGTGATATCATGTATACTTGTATTCACTTTGTATTTTTTCTACAATGAATTAAGGCTCCTGTAGGGTTATATATGCATCTACAAGTTATGTCCATAGACACACGCACACAAACACGCACACGCACATACATTTGCAATGATGTAAAATGGAGCGTATTGACTTTCAGTGACAACAAATGCTGCAAACCCCCCCCCTCACCCTCCCAAAGCCACAGTCTGAGGTTGGACACAGGAGAGCGCCCATTCCCTCTCATTCTTTGTGTGCGTGTGGCACATTACACTCCAGCGCACGGTGGATGCGAGCTTGCGTGCGCGCAATCTGTCGTCCCATGTCGCACGGTGCCCTGCTTTGCCGGTGAGCCAAAGGAAAAGGCTTAAGGGGGGATCACACGCACAGTCGCTTCTTCTGCAGACCCTCTGAGTACCAGTGACGGGAACGCGCATTACTACAACCACAACTCCTGCAGACGACGGAGCCGGAGTGACAGGAGCGCGCAAAAGGTGTGTAGGACTTGGACAATGCAACCGAAACTGAGCTGTTAGGAGCTCTACACACATACTCTCACACACACACGTTCACACACGGGCGCGGGCGCGCTGCAGCTGCAAGGGAAGACGACGGCGACATGGCGAAGAAAAGCGCCAAGATCTGAAGTTTCCGTCAGGTTAACGTGCAATCCACCAGAACCACCACCGGAACCAAGACCAGAGTTTGTATCCGTGCGCCACAGAGAAGGAACCTGCAGCAGAATGTCGGTGGGTCAGAGGCGTTTGGGAGCCTGGCAGGTGCTGATCACCATCTCATTGGTCATCGCACCCCTGTCTGCACACGGTAAGACCTTTACACCGGTCCACAGTCCCACCCTGTGCGTGTTGGCGTGCGTGACACACTGTACTGTAGATCAATTCAAGTGTGTGTGCGTGTGTTGCATGCATGCATGCATGAACCCGGTCACACCTGCACCGGCTCTGAAGGAAAATGATGGATGGCAAGAATTGCTGTGTGCAGCCTCAGCTGATATTTAAAGTAGTAACCAGCTCAACGGTGATAGGTGGATTTTTTAAATTTACTAAATGCAATTCCAATATCCTTTTTTACACCAGTGATGTAATTGTTTTCTGCACAAACGTGCAGAAAAAAATGAAATAGGGTCAGTGGGTGACTGGGCTGTGCAGACTACTGGATTACTACAGTGTGGATTTTCTTTGTTGGAGCCGCTTCTCCGCCAGATTGAAAGAACTCTTCCCATCATAACTGAGATGAACTGATTCGACTGTGCATTACCGTATGAAGGAGACAAAGAGCGGCTCGGTGGGTTTGACAGTTGGCCGCTGCAGCTGTGGCTCTGCATGCACCGTGGCGGCGGTGCGTGGCCCAGACAAAGACGGGATTAGCAGCACCGTGGCCTGTCTGCGTGGGGGCATTCAGGGTTCTGAATGGACTGGATTCCTCCAGACATCTTCAGGAACCCGAGACAACCACAGGGTCTCTACACTCCCCAGTGTAATCACTCCGCCTGGTCTTTCACTGTACATCCACCCAGACGCAGGGAGGGCGGTGTTAGTGTGACTGCTGTCTAAGAAAAGCAGAATGTGCAGAAAAAGACATTATATAGAAATATATATAGAAATAACAATAGCGACGTTTTCCAGTAATGGGGTGTTGCCTGTACACTGGAGGTCACCGGGGTTCACGTCACGTGTTTCCTCGCCCTCAATGTGTAACGAGGCGTTAACGCAGTGACATATTGACCCGCAAATTAAAGGCTGAAGAGCCGTCTGTCTGTCACTCTTTACACTCAAGAGACCACGTGACTCACACTTATGGCTCCAAAATGAGGCTCATTTGTCCACACTGGCCGCTTTATTAGGGACATTTTATAGCCAAATATATGCTGTTTGATTTGTGTAATAAACTGGCAGACCTGGCAGAGCCATGGAGTCGAACTGCCACTATTTCTGCAATGTAAGCACTGTCAGTATCAGAACATTATGTTCCCTAGTCTTGGGAAGAAGACCAAGTGAAAAGGTACAGGGACAATTGGACGAAGAGAATGAGTAGAATTTAACCTTAATATTTTTTTGCTGCCCTAAAACGCCACTCAACAGGTGGCGCTTTAATTTTTTTTTTTATAAAACATTGGTGGATCTGCAGGGCGCTGGATATGGTCGGCACTCCATAGCTTAATTTGCTTAAATAAATTGATTCAATCAGCGTGGCAACACAAAAAAAGGGAAAAGGCTATCATTGAGGGCTATTACAACAACATAAGATAACATCTCCGTTGTGCTTTGGCCTTTTGTGTATTTTTAGTCTTTGGCTGAGTGCACACTGTGAGGTCCATCTGCCCAGAAACCCAGGATGGTTTCTGGTTTGTCACAACAGATCAGATCACCAGCATCTCTCCCCAAACTGCATTATACACACACACAAGGCAAACCATGGCAATGACGGTAGCTGATTGGTTACGTTAAGATGCAATACAATATAGATGGTGCGGTTTTGACCTCACTCAGAAATGCAGTTCTGTGTGTAGTACCACTGCCTGCCAGCAGGGACTGGTTACATTAAAAAACAATAATAAAAAAAACTCTGCCTTTTCAAACAATGTGTTTATGCCCAAACCTCTTCCCTGCTGTTTTGAAAAATGCATAATAACATTAAATGATCATTTAAAAACTTCAAAAAAAATCCAACAGCACAGAACCATTTAGTTTTAATAGGCACAACCAGAGTATGTTTTGCAGCGACCCATAATTCCCTCTGCTTGTCAGAAGGTGAAGGCCGCTGCACTCCAGCACTCCTGCCTGTCACAGTGACCCCAGGTAAAATGTGTTACCATGGAAACATGCTCAGCATGATGCCATTAAGTGCGAGGAGTGGAATATCAGCCAGAGGCACAAATCACACACTGTCTCAGGATGAAATCAACTCACTGCACAGGGACTTGTGTGGTCAATTTGCTCGTCTTGCTCTCGTAATCTTTTCATGTTCTCTTTTTGCTCGACTAATCACCATGAGAGCAGCTGCTGACGGGAGGTGCCTTCCAAGCCTCACTGGGGAACACAGTGGCAGATTGAACCTGTAAATGAAATTTGAATCAGCTGTAATCAGTTTTAA